TCCAGCTCTCTGCTGTGGCCAGGGAGTGCAGTGGAGGATGGCCCAAGTGCTTGGGCCCTGCACCCCATGGGAGACCAGGAGAAGCACTTGGCTCCTGGCTTCGGATCAGTGCAGTGTGCTGGCTACAGCGGCCATTGGGGAGTGAACCAACGGCAAAGGAAGACCTTTCTCTCTGTCTCTCTCTCACTGTCCACTCTGCCTGTCCAAAAAAACAAAAACAAAAACATAAAATTGTGACAACATCAAACAACGCTAAGGATGTGGAGAAACTACATCACTCACATACATCACTTGTTCACTCCCCAAGTGACCATAACTGCTAGGGCTGGGCCAGGCCAAACTCAGGAGCCTGGAGCTTCATCTGGATCTCCCACGAGTGTGGCAGGGGCCCAAGGACTTGGGCCATCCTCCACTGCTTTCCCAGGTGCATTAGCAGGGAGCTGGATCAGAAGTTGAACAGCCAGGACTCGAACCAGTGGCCATATGGGATGCCAGCATTGCAGGCAGCGGCTTAACCCACTGTGCTACAATGCCAGCCCCATTGCTTAACATTTTTTGCATACTGACAGTGTATCAGGAATTATGCTCAATATTTTTTGTATGTTGTCTTATTGTATCCCAGGAAACCAACTGATAGCTTCCTATAAATTTATTTTTAGTTAAAAAAAGGAAAATAGTAATTTTATGGTAGGGAAACCTGAAAGACATCAGCTTAATGAAATGATTAAAGATAATACTGCCAATATTGGTACACTCTGACATGATGGGCTTTATGATAAGATGTACTAAGAATGATACAATGGAACTCCTGTGTTATTTTGGCCAGAAATATACAAACCCAATTTGATCATGATATATAGCCAAACCCAAATTGAGAGATATTCTGCAAAATAACTGATCAGTACTCTTCAAACATGTCAATGTCATGAAACACAAAGGCTGGGAAATTATTACATACTAGGGGAAATTAAATGAAAACTGGAATCAATTCTGTTTTGGATCCTGAATTGGGAAAAATAACTACCCAGAGCAATATTCAAAATCTGAAAAGTTTAAATATGTACTGTAGATTAGATAATATTGTATCAATTTTAAATGTCCTCATTTAGATGAATGAAATATGGTTATACAAAAGATTATTTTTATTCTCAGAAAACATACACTAATATATTTTTGAATAAAGGGATGTGGTGTCTCTAACTTGCCCCTAAGTGGTTTAGAAAAAAAAAAGTGTATTGTACATACAGAAAAAGAGTGATGTGGAGAAACTGGAACCCTTGTGCATTGCTGGTAGAAATGGAAAATGGTACAGCACCTGCAGAAAATAATCTGGCAATTACTTAAATGACTAAGCATAAAGTTACCTTATGATCCAGGAATTCCACTCTTAGGTATATACCCATGAAAACTGAAAAAAACATGCCCACCAAAAAACCTGCACACAAATGTTTATGACAGCTCCATTCAAAATAGCCGGAAAGTGGAACAGCCCAAATGTCCAACTAATGAACTGATAAGCACAATGAGACATACCCATACAAGGGAATATTGATTAGCCATGAAAAGGAGTGGAATTCTAACATAGGCTACAACAGACATGACTTTTGAAAACAGCATTTTAAGTGAAACAAGTTGGGTACAAAACGTCACGGAATATAAGATTATGTGATCCTGATGTGAAATGTTCAGGATAGGCAAGTCTATACGGGCAAATTAGAGTAGTGGCTTCCAGAAGCTGGAGGGAGAAGACTGAATGAGAAGTGACTGCTAATGGATGTGGAGTTTCTTTTTGGGGTGATGAAAATGCTCTGGAGTTAGGTAGTGGTGATGGATGTGCAAATCTGTGAGTATGCTAAAAGAAAAGTGTAACAATTTATTTTATTTATTTGAAAAGCAAATAAAGAGAGAGAGAGAGAGAGAGAGAGAGAGAGAACAGCCAGAGCTAGGCTAGACCAAAACCAGGAGCCAGAATCTGCATTCTGGTTTGCTATGTGGGTGGCAGAAACCCAAGTTCTTGAATCATCACCCATTGCCTCCCAGGCACATCAGCAGGAACCTGGATCAGAAGTGAGGAGTAGCTAGGATTTGAACTGAGCACTCTGACACAGGATGTGTGTGTAAGTAGAGGCTTAACCTGCTTTGCCACAATATCTGCCCCTAAAATACAAAACAAAACAAAACACACTTTAAAAGAGTCAACTTGGGTAGGCTTTGTGTGGAACAGTGGTTAAATCACCGCTTGGGGTACCAACATCCTATACCAGAGTGCCTGGGTTCAATTTTTACCTCTGCTTCCAATCTAGCTTCCTGCTAATGTGCATCCTGGGAGGTAGCAGGTGATGGCTCAAGTGATTGGGTCCCTCTCACCCACATGGGACACCTGGCTGCTGGCTGTGCCCTGGTCCAGCCCTGAAGATTTTCTCTCTTGCTGTCTCTTGCTCTTGCTCTTGCTCTTGCTCTTCCCTTCAAATAAAAATAAACAAAAGAGTGAAATTTATGGTGTGTAAATTATGTCTCAGTAAATTATTATTCTTTTTTAAAAGTCAGTGTGGGTGCTGACATTCCTATTCAGGCATTGCTCTAGGCTTTTTTCACTTCTACATGCCTCTCTCCTCGCTGTCTCCGTCTTCTCAACCATATCTAATGATGTACTTTCATTCTTATTATCCAACTTCTCTCTTGGATTTGAAGAGATCCACTGTTTGAATATTCCTTCCATCTGACTACAGTTTTATAATTGGTCCAGTGACTGAAGATGACCCATGTCAGGCCAACTGGTACCAACAAGACTCAATTTATGGATACTCATTTGCTCCAAGGGGGAAATGAATTCCACTGCTGGATTAGGCATTGTGAGGCTGAAGGCACCAGAGGTCTCTAGTAAGAGGCTGAAAATGGAAACTCACACCGAAGATGTAACTCTGATGGCTCCAAGTGAAATAACTTGCATTCTGGATTAAGATACACAGGAAGTTTGCTTTACCTCTGAACATTTAAGTTTCTAGTGAGCTACAAATCATCTGTTTTGCTTAAGACCAGCTGGGTCTTCTTTTCTTACTTACAAATAAAACAATACTAAATTATATGACTGTTCTTCCTGGCTCCTGATCCACCTTAAGAAATGAATTCAAACCTTTGTTCCTCATAGGAACCTGCCATTTCAGGCCTATCACTTAATGGCACCTGCCCTTCAAAGGAGGGACATAGATAATCCCTATACTATACAGCACATGTAAATTGGACTCTCACATAACACAGAAATAAACTGGCATCAAACAATTGCTTCACCTTTATTGAAAAGCTGAAAAGGAATTGGCGATGGTGCAAGGCAGGAGAATGCTGCTGGATTTGGGAGTTATTCTCTTCCTGCCAAAAAGCCAGAGAAGCTGACTGCCAGCCCAGGGGAACAAAGCATGCAGAGGTCTCATTAATCTGGAGAGAGAGGAACTGAGGCTGGCCTTTGAAAATTAAACCTGTAGAATCTAATACAAAGAATAGCATTAGACATATATGAGGGGCAGGCGCCATGGTGCAGTGGGTAAAGCCACTGCCTCCAAGGCAGGCATCCCATACTGGCACCAGTTCATATGTTTGCTGCTCCACTTCTTTTCCAGCTCTCTGCTACAGCCCAAGAAGGCAGTACAAGATGGCCCAAGTGCCCAGGCCCCTGCACCTGCATGGGAGACCCAACAGAAACTCCTGGCTCCTGGCTTCGGATCAGCTCAGCTCTGGCCATTGTGGCCATCTGGAGAATAAACCAGCAGATAGAAGAGCTCTCTCTCTCTCTCTCTCTCTCTCTCTCTCTCTGTCTCTCTCTCTCTGTAACTCTGCCTTTCAAATACATAAATAAGTGTTTTTATAAAAGACATCTGTGAGAGCCAACCCAGAGAGTGCCTGTAAATGTGTGACTTGAGGTGTGGAAACATGTAAAATTCCAATCAAAGTAGTGATCTTAAAGGAACTGAAGTGAACTACAGCTGTGATTGAGTAACCTGAAAACAAATTATATGCTCTCTTGCACCTGGCCTCTTGCTTGGTACAGAGAAGTATCGGTAAATATTTGGTGAATGAATGAATCTGCATGAACAAGAGGGTCGACTCAACAAGGGAAATCTAAGGAGCCTGAAACAGGCATTGGTCTTTCACGTGTAGTTCAGGGGATATGGTTTGCCATGTAGATGTAGACATAATTATGAACATGGATGTGGAGATGAATCGAGACAACAGAAATTGAGACAGAGACCTGGCTCTGTGTGCTTGGTTAATATACATCTACCACTGGACTCCAGATCTACTCTCAGCGGGACCTTGGACTGCATTGAACAAGGTAACTTTCAACTTCTGTGGCCCCTTGGCAGGCAGGCCATTGGCTTTCATCTTGTGATAACCTTGGCATTTGTCATGAGCTGAGCCAGACTTAGCACTGAAATGACATTAACCTACCCATGGTGCAGTGAAAACGGCAGCCACAGCATCAGGGAAGATGTTTAAAGAGTGCAAGTCGTGAGAGAAAATCAGAATGTGTCACGTTTGCTGTGCGATTCCTCTCTACAATCATTTGTTAGGAGCACAGAAACAAAAGTTGGATGAGAATATTGTTCTTGTGAAAACAGTCTAAGTCCTTTGTGGCAAACAAGAGAAGAGGTCCCTCCCCATCTTCACTGCAGACACCATGTTCACATAGGCACTGCTCCATCTTCTGCTCTAGGTAAAAACACATTCCAGATAAAAAAAAAATACAAAAACAAGTTTTCCGTTTCTAACCTTACTAGGTCAATGCCAGGCCTTGCCTTCCTGTGCTCTGCAGTTGCACTTTCTTATCAAGGGAAAACACAGGGGCCTCAATGAACTCTTTGTCAGTCATAACTGGAGAAGGGGAGTTGGATCCCATCTCAATTTATTCTTTTTGTTGTTGTTTTTTGGTCAAAAGGTCAACAAAAAATGTTTGCTTAGAGGGAAAGGATATTATGTAAATCATTGGCTGATTCCAAGATTATGTTGCACACATATAGTACAGTGGAGAGCTTAAAACAGGCCTGGAATTTGCAGTGGGATGAGAAAGCTTATGAATTTGCAAAATAGGAACTCTCTCTATAGGTCTGTTTATCTAGAGTGTGTGAAGAATGGATTGTGCCGGTTAACAGAATGAGGCCTCCCAACCGACCCGGATACCATACACAAATGAATGGAACATCTTCATTACTTTGCTAACGCTATCGTGCTATGGAATTAACCGGCATCTGTGGGTCATTGGTATGCCTAACAGTTCCGTTGCACGGGACCAAAAGGAGAGCTCGAGAAGAAATTTGGACAGTGCATTTCTAGGATAGCCAGGTAAGAGCCTACTCCGACTAGCATCCAGGGACATCTGCTCAGGCTCATTCTGAAGACTTTTTCTTCCTCTGGTTTTTATAGGCTCCACCACAATGATCTTGCCTGTGACTGGGACTCCTGAGGCTGAACTTGGAAACACTGAAAGGTAAGAACAACATTAAAGCCTTTACCTGCTCACTAAACATTGTCTGTATTCCCCTTGGGCGAAAACAGGAATATTTATCCAAATGTCTGTGTGGTTTGTTTCCTATTTCAGTGTCATCCTCTTCCTCTGCTTTCAAAGAAGATAATGCTATTATTGAAAGTTGATGCAGATTGAAGTTGTGCCATTGATTGGACTTTGGAGGCCATCTGGAGTCCCCAGTTGACCCACATGGAGGTTCTGCAGGGTCTAGCACTCTATCAAAGAGCCAGCTGCCAATGAGAACGGGCATCTGGCACTCCTATCTTCTCCACTGCATCTTCCAGCTTCCCTGTCTTCCCACTTGTATTTGCTTCCGGTAGCCTTGGGCCTATTCTCAACTTCAGCCCTCAGACCCGGCACTCAATGCTGTTCTTCTGCAGAGTGTATCTTACTAGCCTTGACTACATCTCACATTTGCCTGGTGGATTATGTTCTGCTCTTCCTGCTCCAGGTAAACATCAGCTTACCTGAACCGTAAGTGAAGCAAATTGGAACAGGAGAGAAACATGGAAGAAGACATCTCACCTCTCAGGGGGGTTCTGACCACCCAGGCTAGTCATATAGACCCCGATCCAGACGAAGCAGTCCCACATGCAGAAGCACCAGCTCCAGTTCAGACTCCACTTGAAGATGCTTCATCCACAGCAAGTCAAGGGGTTGGTGTGGGGCAGAAAGGCATTGGGCAAGAAGAGAATGATGAGATGGGGAAAATGTCTGGTTTTAGCTTGTGCACAAGTGTCCCAGATGTGGCTCTGCTTCATGACTCATCTAAAAGGACATCCTGTGCTGCTAAGAGGGGGGAGAAGATAGGGAAGAAAAACAGCCGTAAAAGAAGGAATAGAAAAGAAGGTAAGACGATATATCTTCCTTGGCCTCTGATGTTACAGACTCGGGCATCTTCTGCTGCCCAAGTTCTAGGTCAGACTTGTACTCCACGGGCTTTGCCGTTTGCTGAGGTGGAGCTGCAAAGCGAGTATGCTGAGAAAGAAAGAGCATCAGTTCTTACTGAGCCTTGGAAGGCACTGGCTGACAGCCTGCTGCCAGCAGCAAGACCAGTGCAGCCCTTTCTTGACAAGGACTTTCTGGCACACAATGAGGAGATCAGAGTAGGGCAGAAAAGCTGCCTGATAGAAAGAGAGGAACGGCGCAAGAAGGTTGGGGCTAGTCCTTGGCCTCTGACAGTACAGGCTTGGGCATCTTTTACAGGCCCAGCTCCCATACAGCCAAGGGCGTCACCAGTTGGTAATGACAGAGTCAATGTGGGGCAGAAAAGCAGAAGTCAAAGAGGTGAGCAGGATAAAGCATCCATCCTGAGTCCAGGCTACAGCGCAGAGGCTGGTGCCACACACCCGCCTGTGCCTCTGGGCCAGACTTCATGGGAGGAGCAGGCATATCGCACTGCTAACAGTGGGGAAGATGTGAAGAAGCATATCAGACTGGAGAGGAGGAGCAGAAAGAGCAAAAGCACCCTCACGCGTCCCTGGCCTCTGACAGTGCAAGCTTGGGCTTCCTTTACAGTAGCAGATCCAGTCCAGACTCTTCTTCAGGGCGAGTCTCCTGCTGCGAGTAGAGAAGTGAATGCCGGCTGGGAAAGCCAGCCTCGTCTGGATAGTGAGGAAGAGAGCAAGGCTGGTCTTCCTTGGTCTGGAGGAGCAGAGGCTGCTGGCTGCTTCTCTGCCACGGCTCCGTTGCAGACTTCACTTGGTGAGGCTCCTTTCCTGGAGGACAGCTATTCCAAGTTGAACAAAGCCAGGAGGATGCCTAAGAGGGGAGATGAGGGGCAATCCCAGAGCAGTGTAGAGCCAGTCCTGCAATCCTGCCAGGGCTGGGGAAATGAAGACAGGAACCTGGGGGTTCAGGACTTCTGGGAATGTACTGCCGACAATGTTCCTAAGCAAGTTGACTGTTATCATTATGGGGGAGGGTTACTCACAAGAGAGGTCGCACGGTATGACCTTGACCGAAACCTATACGCATATTGGTACTTCGGGGATGAGAAGGCAGAGAAGAGAGAGGGAAAGGACTGAATCTTAGACAGCCTGGATGGAGAAATGAGGAGGCTGTCAAGATACAGAAGAGAAAAGAGCGGAACCTAAGGGCACCCTGGGTCCTGGGAGTGCAGTGGTGTACATTTGGTTGGGAGAGAGAAGTATTTGAAGGGCTACTCTGAAAGGCTCACTACACATATGGTAATTTCCTCTTAACAAATGGTAATATCACAATTACACTTTTGCTGGTTGATTCCTTCTCTAATTACGTTTTAATTTTATTGGCAGATACAGAGAAGCAAAACTTCTTTATCCTCTATCTTCTTTCCCATAAATAAATAAATAAATAAATGTAGCGAAAGATCTGTTGTTTATGACTCATAAATGGTATTATGAGTCTAGATTGTAAACCAATGACGGAATGCCTGTTGGTTATTCAGAACTCTTCTCTTGACTGAAAAAAAGTACTGTACTTTGCATTGCAAGCTGCCTTAGTGATTGCATTTAGCTCTGGCACTGGCCACTTTATAGCTGTATTGTTAAATTTCAAAGCTATGAATAATAAACTTATTTAAAAAAAAAGAGTGCCGAGTCTGGAATCAGAGCTCACTTTTGCCACTTGCTACCTGTGTTTCTTTGAGCAACTCACTTACCTCTTCTTGACCTGAGTTTCCCTCTCTCACACACTGGTGCTAACAGCCCCGGTCTTGTAGAGTTGTTTGAAGATTAAATGACTTAGTACATGTGAAGCACTTAGAAGAGTGCTTGACATATAAGAAGTCCTCAAAACAATGTCACTTGTATTACTTTACCTTTCAGCACCAAGTTCTGTGGAAGGACTGTGTGTCCCAAAGCCATATAAATGGCAGGGCAGACGCAAGACAGAATGTGATGCCTCTGTTTGAGGGCAGCAAAAATAGACAACACAGCAGTTACCATTTGAGGTAGTAGGATTTCAGCCACATCAAGCAAATGTGCAGCAATAAAGCAGAGAGGAATGCGCTGCTGTGGTAGAGGCCCCAATGGCTGGATGGTGGACCACGCCTGGGAGATGGGCTTTCCCTGCCTCTTAACTGTTGGCCGACCTTCTGCACGTCTGCATGGCCACGTGGCACTCTGAATCGGCAGGTGACCTGGATCAGTCAGTGAGAGACACAGGAAGAAAGCGACCACAGGTCCACAGCAGACTCCCTGCAGGAGAGGAGAGTCCTCCAAGGTCCCGCGTGCTCTGGGCACTGGGCCTTTCTCCGTGAAGGCTCCCCTGCTGGCCACTGCCAGAAGAGGAGCCCAGGCACCTGTGGCTGGGCCTGCACAGGACCCACACACTATGCTGGGAGGGGGGCAGGGGTGTTCAGCTTTCTCAAACCACCTGGAAAACCAGGCGACTGCTCCTGCTCCTGCTCCTGCTGGAAGCAACCATGTGCAGGGACTGTGTGGCCATGGCTGTGTTTGTCGCTGCCACTGGCTGTGTTTGTTGGGGGCTTCTCTGGGAAGTGTGGCTGGACAAGGTAGTTGGACAGAGTTGGAGATGAAGAAGCGCACTTCCGTATTGGCCTTTTGTGTGGCTGACTTTGGGGTCAGTTTTGTTGAAGAGATGGCCTGATGTGTTCCCTGGCAGTGCTGCAGGGTGGGCACCCATGGGAGGTTCTGAGGGGTCTCGAGTGCCTGTGCTACAAGTCCCAGAGTGTTGGGCAGGGGCTCTGGGCAGTCTTGGAGAGGCACCTCCACAAAGGTGCAGGCAGGACTTCTCTGATGCCCATCGTCTCCGACCCTGAGGGGTCCAGCTACAATCTGGTGGCCAGCAAAGGGAACTGAAGTACCTCTTGTTTGCTCCATGACTTATTGTTAAAATCAGGCTCTTAATCGGAGGTTTTAAGTGTAATATGTGGCAGTTGGAAAGTGACCACATTGCCTCATTCTATCTGATTCTCAAGTGGGAGTGGGGCTCTCTAACATGCATCAAAGTTAGACTATGGAGAACAAACAAGGCTGTGGGGCTTTGGTGAGGGGTGGACAGTACTAATGGGTGGGCTTGAGGCTGTCTTCCTCCCTGGAGAGGTCTCCGCACCACTGTCTTCCACAGCACTGGTGGACTCAGTGTGAGGGGTGTGGGAAGAGGAAGGAGAGGATCGGGGAAAGGAGAGAAGGGGGCATTGGTTGCCCAGGCATGGCTCTGGTCTGAGTTTGAGGTGAAGGGCAGGTAAGTAGGATCTAAGGTATTTTCATTGTGCAGCTCAGCCAGCCAAGAGGGTCCAAATGGATTTGAGGCAAAAGCCTATAAATGCAAGGAAATACTGCATCTGTTTTGTGTCACATCAGCCTTGGGAGCCTTCAGGTGTAATAGCAGGAGGCTTGGTGCAGTGTGCTGGAAGGGACCCAAGCTTCTGAGAAAGACGACAAGCCTTGTGATGGCCCTTTCTTTATCCTCCTGCTGCCACAGTTTGTGCTTAACAGAGGAAGGGGCTGGAGAGAGAAAGGTGGCCAGAGCTGCCCCCAGTCACCTGTTCCCTACTTACAAGGGCAGCATGAGGCAATCGCCGGCTACGGGGTCAGCCTTAAGCTGAGCGTTCCAGTCACAGCAGCTGAATCCTTGTGCACGCTTCCTTCCCTAAGAATAATTCTCAGCTACCCAGCCCTATCTAGCACTTCTTCCCAAGGAAAACCATCGGCCTCAACCAAGCTGCTCACCTTAGTGTCTCTCAAATACACTGCGAACTTCCCCATCTGCAGGGCCACGCTCACATCCTCCCATGTGCCTGGCTTTTCTCTCTGTGTCCCATTCCTGAGCCCACAACCCTGTCAGGCCTCCCCCTCAAGGCAGTGATACATTTTCACTGCTTCATCCGGGTCTTTCTTTTTCCCCTGACCTGAGCCTCTTTGTCGCTTTGAAGGCTCAGTGAAGTTTGGATGGGAAGTAGTTCTGCAGGATACATATTGTTGCAAAGCTGAGTCAACCGCTGAGGGACTACTTCCTGTACACATGAAGTGGACAGGCTGCCCAAGGGGTTATACTTTAATCTCATTGTTAGGTAAAGAAACTGCAGAACATCCTTCATTTTCTGCAGTAAAATAAGCAGGCCCCCCTGTGGTGGTGGTGGGGGGGTGGGTGATGGTGGAAGAGGAATCCTGTGAAACACAATGGTTCTTTCATGGAACCTGCCTTAAATAACAATCCCGCAGTATCCAGAGTTTATATAAAAGCTTCAGCTTCCAAGGAAGTCCCAGTGCTCCTTACTATCAAACATGTTTAATATCAAAACATGCTGTCTTGGGACCAGTGTTACGGTGCAGCAGGTTAAGCCACTACTTGCAGTGCCAGCATCCCATAGCAGAGTGGCAGTTCAAGTCCTGTCTGCTCTGCTTCTGACCATGCTAATATCATGCTGGGGAAGGCAGCAGAAAATGGCCCAAGTAGTTGGGCCCCTGCTACCCACATGGGAGACCAGAATGGAGTTCCTGGCTCCTGCTTTTAGCTGGCACAGATCTGGCTGCTGTGGACATTTGGTGAATTAACCAGCAAATAGAAAATCTCTCTCTCTCTCTCTCTCTCTCTCTCTCTCTCTCTCTCTCTCTTTGTGTGTGTGTATGTGTGTGTGTTTCTCTGTTGCTCTGCCTTTTAAATAAATAAATAACTTCTAAAAAACTGTGCTTAGGGGCTGGTAATGTGGCACAGCAGGTTAAAGCCCCGGCCTACAGCCTTGGCATCCCATATGGGCACCAGTTCTAGTCCCTGCAGCTGCTCTACTTCCAATCCAGCTTCCTGCTAATGCAGCCTGGAAAGTAGCAGAGGATGACCCAAGTCCTTGGGCCCCTGCACCCACATGGGAGACCTGGAAGAAGCTCCTAGATTCTGGCTTCAGATCAGCCCAGCCCCTGCCATTATGGCCATTTGGGAAGTAAACCAGTGGATGGAAGACCTCTCTTGCTCTCTCTCTCTTTCTCTCTCTCTGTCTCTCTGTCTGTCTCTGTGTCTACCTCTCTCTGTAACTCTTTCACATAAAATAAAATAAATCTTTAAGAAAAACCCTGTGCTTTGTGTATGAAGACAACATCAATGACTCATTAGCAGTAGGAACTGGAATAGGCAGTAGGCTTGGAGCTGTTTTACCAGCAGCAAAGATGACACTGCACTCAACCTCTCAGTCTCTTAGTCAGGCTCTTTGTAATGTAAAGTATCCATTTTTCTGCCAAGGGCAGGTCATTTTCCTGGCCCTCTACTCCAACCACCTCAATTAACCACCTTGACTAACCAATCTTAAATACTTGACTGTCTCAAGGCTTGTATCTTCTTTAAGTCCTCACGGAACTCCAGGACTGCAGACGCTGGAGTCTGACTAGCTGAACTCAAATCCTGACTTTTTTCTTTACTAATTTGGGTAAATTATCTAGCCTTTCTATGCCTCAGATTCTTTTACCTATCAAAGGGAACAAACAGTCGTTCCTACTTAAGATTATTGTGAGGATTAAAAGGGGTCATGTATGTCAAGTGCCCAGAACAGTGCCTGGCATGTGTTCAAGTCACAGACATCTGGGAGATGTCTTAGAAGACATTTTTGTATTTTTTTTTTTTTGCTTAAAAATTGCTTTAGTTGTTTTCCTGACAAAGTGAGAAAAATTTGTATCTGTTGATCACCCAGAATTGCACTAGGTACTGTGAGTATAAAGTACACGCATACATTGTTTAATGACAAGAATACATACTAAGCAATGTGCTAGTTCACCATTGTGGAATACCCTACCATACACACTTAGGCTATATGGTATGGCCTATGGCTCCTGGGCTACAAACCTACTCTACCTGTACTGAATACTGGAGACAATTGTAACAAGTGGCATTTGTGTAATTAAATGTATCTAAACATCAGAAGGTACAGTAAAAATATGGTGTTCCAGAACATAAAAAAATGGTGCATCTGTAGGACTGGAAGCTGCTATGGGTGTGTCAGTGAGAAAGGGAGTGGAGAGTGACGGTGAAGGCCTAGGACATACTATACAGCACCACAACTTTATACACACTGTACACTTAGGCTACATCAAAACTAGTAAACGATTTTCTCTCTTTAATAATAAGTTAATTGTACATTTTTGTAACATTTTACTTTAGAAAATGTTTTTTTTTTTTAACTTTTGGACTCCTTTGTAATGACAGTTTAAAACACAAACACATTGTACAGGTGTACACTTTTTTTCTTGATATTCTTATTCTATGAGATTTTCTCTGTTTTTTTAATGTTTTAAATTTTTTTGTTAAAAGCCGAGACACGAAGACACACATTAGCCTAGGGTCAGGATCATCAATATCACTGTTTCTACCTGCAAAACTTGTCCCACTGGAAGGCTTTCCAGGGCAACAACACTCACGGGACTGTTATCTCCTATGACTAACAATGATTTCTAAAGGACTTTCTCCTGAAGGAACTGCCTGAGGCTGTTTTACAGTTAAAATTTGTTTTAACAAGAAAGAGTGCAGTCTAAAATAAAAACATTATGGTACAATAAATACATAAGCCAGTAACCTAGTTGTTTATCGTCATGTCAAGTGTTACATACCATACATAACTGTCT